TACAGAGATCCCTATGGCACCCTCAGTTAAACAGTTCCCAGACCCAGCCACACATCAGAAATCATCTAGGGCAATTTAAGAACAGGTTCCTGGGCTCCAGATCTAGAGACTCTAGGTGTGGGATAGGGTCTAGCAAGGCACAGGGGATCTGATCATTAGTTAGGTTGGGGTGAGAGAGAGGTAGAATCAAGCAATCACAGTTGCTTCTTCTACTGAAAATTACTTCCTCCCACACTCTCATTCACTTTTCCACATCTTTTGTTGACACCTCATAGCCTATAGGATAAAGCCCAAACCTACTAAACTCTCCAATCAGACTTCTCGCCATTCTCCATGAGTTGGGCAGTTCTGGACTCTGGATCTTTGTTTACGCTGCTTACTTTGCCCAGACACTTTGCCTCACCTTCTCTGGAGGACCTTCAACTTGACCTTGAAGCCTCAGCTCCAAGAAGGCCTTTTCTAGGCTATTAAATCTGTGCATCCTCAAAACAAAGCATCTATACTAATAAAAGCTACTACATGTGTTCAGTGCTTGACATACAGTGCCTGGTGAACCCTAGTTTGAGTCCAGTATCACTGTCATTTTATACACAGAAAGCCAAACAAAAGGCTGAAACACTTCTCAAGGTGTGTACCAGGAACTAGAATTTGACTCAGCTTAGAGGAAGTGATGCTCCTCTAACTTAACTGTAATTATTACATGTATGTTCTTTAGACCATGAGCCCCTGCGGGCAGAGACCATGTCTGATTCACTTCTATATTACCAGCTAGCCCAGGACCCAACATAGACCAGGAGTCTATTAGTGTTGGTAGAATAAGTGAACACCAGGTTAGGTGAGATGAAGGCTGGGCATAGTGCATGTGTAATGGGCCTGAATGAATGAGTGACTGCCAGCCTGGCCTAGCAGTGCAGGCAGTAAGAATAAGGTGCCAGAAACCTAATGTTTCTTTTATTATAGTTTAAGAGCCACTTATTGAGCACATAAGTACAATGTGCAATAAATACTCCAGAAATGAATTAAAAACATAGCCCAAGCTCACAAAATTCTAGGCTTAGTAAGTGAAGGTTTCAGGATATTAACAGTACATCTAACATATATTAAACTTAATAGTTCTGGGAAATTTTAAGGAAATTTAAAATTTTAGGAAGTAAGTTTTAATCTTCAAAGGTCTTTTGGCATTTCTACATGGTGAAGCCCTACTGGTTTACTACGGACCAGAGGTGATAGGGATCTCTACTCAGCATTATCTCCTCCTACCTGCATTTAAAATGGCTAGGTGGGCAGTGATTTTAAGGGGGAAGTCTCAGGGTACAGGGATTATCTCATTCATCTGTGTGCTCTGAATAAAGGCCTTGGCACAGAGGTTATTAATACTTGCTGAGTGGATTAAATATAATGAGACGATTTTAATAAAGATACTGACTGTCATCTGCTCCTGTCCCATGAGGGAGTAGGTTTAACTCTGAGCAGTGGTAGAGCCAGGTCTCTAGAGATCCTTTAAACTAGGCTGGGCAAAGTCCCATGGGAAGCTGCAGAGGAGAGACGGGAAGGACAGGATGCGCTCAACCCCTACCAATGCCAGTTTACAGTCTAGCGAGTCTCCTCGGGGTTTACTGAGTGAGTGTGCACCTGGACTACCAGCTGAGTGGTCCAAGAGAACTAGAAATAGTCAGCGGAGCAGGCAGGTGAGAACACTCAGGCTGCGGATGGCCAAATGGCTCCTGCCACATGCCACATCCAATTCTAGCTCTGGCATGAGGAGCACTAGATGCTTTGTGGGTTGCTCCACATTCTCTTGTGAAGCTGCATAGAGTCTTAAAGACGGGAAGAGACATGCCTAGAGTAACAAAGCTAGGAGACTGAGCAGGAAGTTCACCCCAAGTCTTTAAGATTAAATACTATGTCTCTCTGCCTCCTTCAACTGCTTTGTAATTCGTCGCCCCCCCCCCACCCCCCATCCTTCACTAAGGCAGCTACAACTGTTTTAGTCTTCTCCTGGGGGGAAAAACCCAAACAAACAAGTATTTGGGTTTTTAGTGAATGTATCAATGTTGTTTAGGGGCCTAAACAATTAGAAGAAAGGGCTTTTGGGATTCCAATTAAGTTCAAGGTCAAACAAAGGAGATTGGATGGAACTAGAGAGGCCTATGAGCCTTAACTCAGAGAAAGCAATGCTCTTCTAGCCTTACCATGACTACTATGTACATGTTCTCTAGATCAAATGAGCCCCTTGTGAAGAGGGTCCACAGTTGACTCACTTCTGTATTCCAGCTAGCCCAGGGACTGGCACAGATCAGGTGTCCTTCATATGATGAAGAGGGCAGACACTTCCCAGAGACTGCAGATGACTACCTTCTGGAAATGTGGGCCTAGCAGCACCAGATTTTTAGCAGCAGATGGCATAAATCCAGTTTTGTGGGAAATTGATTTTTAAAAATACTGGCTCAAATGAAAACACAAAAAAGAAACAAAACATGTGACTTGGGGCATTAAACCCTGTGTGTGGACTGAAAGTGATCCCATTCTCCAGCTTTGGCTTCAGTGTGGCATTCGACATTGACTTTCACCCTACTTACCCACTCTAAGTACTTAAGACAGGGGATTAAGTGGTGGTGGGAGCCAGAGGTCCTCGCCAAAGGTATGCCTGCGGGCAGAGCAAGGACTGATCCCAATTCTTTCAGCAGGTGCTTTTCACCAAGGCACAAAGGCCTGCTTCTGGCACCCAGAATCCCCTTCCCCAGCAAAAATGGGGCTCAATCAGAAGTTTGTCCATTTGTTTCACCTATTACAGCTAGAGTTTTTAAAAAAAGTCTTGCTAAATACCCCACAGTACACAAGAAGGTACTTTATGGGGTGGTGGTAGGTGTACCTATAGTAGGAGTTATTTGGGCAAATGTTTAGTTTTTTGAGTTTCCGTTTCTTCATCTGAAAAATGGGATTAATAGTATTTATATCTTCATTCATTAGAATTTATCAATCACCAGGCTTAGTGGTACAATAGTGACTGACTTGGTTCCTACACTCTCAAGAGTTTACAAAGCAAAAGCAGACTAATAATTATATCAATGGTTAACTCATCACATTCACACTAAACGCTGAGGAGAACATGGGGTGGTGGGAAGGTATGTAAAATGCCTAGCATAAATAAATGAATGAACTGAAAGGTCAAGCAGTGGAGTAGGTAGGAATCTATCATGTTAAAACTGCGACCTAAATAAAAACTGAATGGTTATGCCATCAACCAAACTTTCTCGCCATGAATACTACAGGCTGGTTAAGTGGCAGGGGAACCCGAATGGTAAATAAGAGAAGACAACAGCTCCCTGACCCTCCCTTCCCCTACCTTCCTCTTCTGGAAAACAACACTCCCAGGGGTCCAGAGGAGGCTCGAGGGGGAAACAGCTTCAGGGTGGGAAGTTAGACTAGGCAAGGGTGGGGTCCAACTTGTGTTCTCAACTTGAGGAGTCCTTTGGAAACAGTCTCAGCCCAGGGTAGGGGAAGGGATGAAGGGGGTGCTTCTCACACTAAGTGGTGACATCTTCATTAATTAAATATCTTACAATGATCTAAGACACAAAGGAGACAGTATAAAAACTGGGTTACAGTAATTTCGGGTTCTCAAAGGATTCATTCTCTCTCATTCACCTAATTATTCCTACTCTGTGTCAGCAAGGCCCAGGGCTAGGCGTGGAGGGCTGGGGCCAGACGGCATGATTTGCGGCCCTGCGGAGTTCACAGTTCAGTGGGGGGAACAGACACATCAACAGACTATGTCATTGTAGTACGGGGAGTGCTACCAGAGGAGAGCATGGGGTCTGTGGGACAGAGGGGGCACCTCACACAGCTGGGGAGGTCAGGAAAGGCTTTCTGGCAATGGTACCCCAAACAGCATCCCCACTCACATGCACAATTCCAGAGATTCTACTAGAAGGCTGTCAAGAGCCATGCCTTCTGGCTGCACCAGCCTCCCAGAGTCCCCTGCTGCCCGATGCAGTGTCTGCAGAGCCAAACGCATCTTCCGCCACGCCTCATCCTCATCCGGCGCTGCATCCGACCCTCCAAGACTCCTGCAGGAGCCTGCCTTCCTCGGCAGACTCATCCAAAAAACCAACTCAAAACTCTTTTGTCAGAGCAAGCTTAGGGCGAGCCACCCAGCCCCAGGTGCCACAACCCTCCCAGAGGAACTGTGGCTCATGCCACCCCAGCGTCGCAGTGAACAGTGGCAGGGTACCTCCTATTATCTCCTTTGCTCAAAAGAAAGTGACCTTCTTCCAGGTGGCAAGCTGGAAGCCTTGGAGAGTCCTCCTACTGCTCACTTTCAGCAGGATTTGCCAAACCCAGGGATCTGAGGATCTGAGGATCTGGGTGGGCTGCCCCGTAGGTCGGGGGTGTAGCGGGGAGAAAGGGCAGGCTTTGCTGGGTTTCCAACTCAGTCAGAAGCCCCACCAAATAAGTCTTCTAGGCAGCCTGGCTGTCTGCTTCCACTGCTCAGCTGGGCAAGGCGGGGGGTGAGGGGGAGGGCGCCCTGGAGACAGATGCTGGGGGCACAGCTGCTGAGGGAGCAGCGAAGGGAAGGGGTGGAGCTGCTCCCGAGGGGGTGGAGAGGGAACAGGCTGCAGCTTTCCAGGCCCCAGAGCCCCGACGTGGCCTGTGGGTGGGTGGGGAGCAGGTGGGCCCAGGGAAGGTGAAGGGCACAGAGCTAAGCTGTGGCCTTAAGACTGGAGAGCGGTCCTAGTGGGTGTGCGACCAGAATGTATCCCAGAGCCGACGGGAGAGGGCAGGGAGGCTGGTCTCACTCGGAACCGGACGGGCCGTGCCTCGGCTTTGGACCAAAGGGTCCAGGCTCACACCCGTCTTGGGGGAGAAAGCCTCAGCCCTGGCCCTGAGGGTTAAGGTTCTGGTCCCAGCCGGGGATGGTCCATCCCCAAGCCCGTCCCAGCGCCATTCCGGGGAGATGAAAGCACCCGAGCAGCCAGACTCGCCTCGCTCGCTCCTACCTGGGGGCCGGGCGCCAGCTCGGGCTCGTCCTCCTCCCTGGGGCCGTCGCGGTAGGGCTCCGCCGGCGCCTCCGGGGGCCCTTCACCCGCTCCCGCTTCCAGGCTCGGCGGCGGTGGGGGCTCCGGCGCCTGGGGCTTCTGCGGCCCCGTGGCCCGCGCCCGCTCGCGCCGGCCCGCGCCGCCGCTCGGCCTGCTCCGCCTCCGAGTCATGCTGCTTCTCGCGCCGCTGCCTTGCTCCACTCGCACCGCCGCCGCCGCTCCCCACACAGGACAACAGCCAATATGGCGGCGCCCGGCTCCCCCTCCGCCGCTGCCAGCAGGTCAGAGGGCACGCGGAGTCCGCGCCGCCGCACTAGCCCCCGAGGCCGCCTGCGCCATTTTGCATAAGGTCACTACCCGGAGTTCCGCCGGAGAGTAAACCTGGTGAGGAAACGCCCTCTTCATTTCGGGATTCCGGGGATGAGACGTGCGCTAGGAGTGGGTGTGCGCTGTAGTAACCGTGCTGCACGGCCCTGGGCGCTTCAAAATTGGCTGTTAAATGGATGAGTGAATGTTAGTAATATTAATAATTTCTGTAGTGCTCCACTACATTCACAGCCGTGATTTGAATTCTCGTACCTGCACGACCTGGCAGGTGCGAGAGCTTCTATTTTGCAGCGGAGAAAACGGGGGCAAAAGATGAAACGGTTGCTCAGCATCAGCCAGCCAGAACTCATGGGCTTGTGGACAGCCTGTGCTGAATGGGACGAAGGGATTGTCTAGATCCTTAATTTCAGTGTATAGTCCACGGGGAGTCCAGCGTTTGGTGCTTGGGGCAGGGAGACTCAGCTCCTCAGTCTGGTGGGAAGAGTGGACACTGAAATACACAATTACAAGTGTGATAAAGATGAGGTGACTGGGGCACATACTAGGTCAGTGTTTTCAAAAAAGTATTTGTGTATGTAAGAGGATTCTGAGTGATACACAAAAGAACATTAAAAAAGTGTAATGATTATGTATTTAATTGTTAAAAATGGATTATTTACTCTTTTTTGAATATGTGACATGCACGTAGAACAAAGTTTTTAAAAATAGCTTTGAGTGCAACTTGTCTCATGCGAGTCAGTGGTATCCTGAAACCTTATGGTGGTTATATGTAGAGTTGTTGTTGTTCCATCAAGGGCACAATTTTGACATTGGCCTGACTCAGGGAGTAAGGGCTATTTTGAGTAGGGCTAAATGGAAGGCCCTGGAGCTCTCCCTAACTACATAATGAAAACATAATACTTTATCTCCGTTATAGGGATTAGCACCACCATCAAAGATTTGAAAGATTCAGGATGATTCCCACTATATCAACATTAACTCTTCAGTTTGGCCAGAACAGAAGATAGATGGCATTTTTTCTCCATTTATTTTCATTGTGGTAAAATATGTGTAACATAAAACTGTGTTAACCATTTTTAAGTGTACAGTTCATTTGTATTAAATACACTCAAATTATTGTGCAGCCATCACCACCCTCCATCACCAAAACTCTTTTCTTGCTAAACTGAAACTCTGTACTCATTAAATAAGGTCCCATTCTCCTATCCTTACAGCCCTTGGCAACCAGCATTCTGCTTTAAAAAAACACAAAAAACCTTCCCCTTTTCCCTACACTGCTGCGTCTGGTAACCATTGTTCTACTCTCTTTTTAATGAGTTTAGCTTTTTTAAAAAATATTTATTTATTTATTTGGCTGTGCTGGGTCTTTGCTGCTGTGTGAGCGTCTCATTGCAGTGGTTTCTCTTGTTCCAGAGCAGCGGCCCTCCAGCGTGCAGGCTTCAGTAGTTGCAGCTCCTGGATTCTAGAGCACAGGCTCAATGGTTGTAGCACAAGGGCTTAGTTGCTCCGAGGCATGTGCGGTCTTCGAAAACCAGGGATTTAACCCCTGACTCCTGCACTAGCAGGCAGATTCTTTACCACTGAGCCACCAGGGAAGCCCTATGAGTTTAGCTTTTTTTAAAAAAAGTATTCCACATGTAAGTGAGATCATGCAGTTTGTCTTTTTGTGACTGGCTTGTTTCATTTAAAATGCCTTTCAAGTTTCATACATGTGCAAATGGCAGAATTCTCTTCTTTTTTTAAGGCCAAATAATATTCTTTTATATTTATTATATATACTTTTTGTATATTCCTTATATATATACTCCTATATATATATATATATAGCATATACTTATATATTTCTTTATATATATACAGATATCTGTCTGTCTATATCACATTTTCTTTATCCATTCATACTTCAGATAGATGGTCTTAAAAAATGATCGATGGAGAAGGAAATGGCAACCCACTCCAGTATTCTTGCCTGGAACAGTCCATGGACAGAGGAGCCTGGCGGGCTGCAGTCCATGGGGTTACATGACTGAGCATGTGTGCACGAGGGTGGAGGGAGGTGGGTTGGTAGCGATAAAGTGGTAGGACTTTAAAAAAAAAAAGAAAAAAATGATTGAGTATTATGATAAACTCATTCTGGTAGGGAACCCGACTGAGGGACTTTTTCAGAGTAGTCATTCTTGGAGCAAACCAGCACAGTTGTTGGCCCACAATAATAGGTCAGGTCAATGCTTTTTATTCCATACCAAAGCTCGGGAATAGTTTGTATTCTTCTATCAGGGGCAGCATGATGGGCTGATGTCTGTGGGGTCGCACAGAGTCGGATACTACTGAGGTGACTTAGCAGCAGCAGGGGCAGCAATAGACCTTTACTGTCTTGCTTCAGGGGTGTGTCACTGTCTGGATATACTCAGTTTACAGGAATTTTTGACCAGATCACCATTCCAGGGGATATCAGGCTAATGTACTGCGATACTGATGACAGTATCCAGATGGAGCTTGAGAACAGGAAGTGGCGGATACCCTAGATGATTTGGTAAGCACACAAATGTGTGCCAGAGGGCAGAGAACAAATCCCATAAGTACATAGGGGTCTGTCTACTCAGTGAACTATCTAGGGTTCTGGGATGTATTGTAATATTCTGCACCAAATAAAGGACAAGTCGCTGAATACCACACTCCTGACCACTAAGAAAGAGGTATACTACTTTGTGGACTTCTTTAGCTTTAGACTTCAGTATAAAATATACCAAATTTAGGTATATTATTTTTACCTGTTACTGGATCACTTGAAAACTATCAACTTTAAGGGGGGGCCATACAAGGAGAGATGGTTTTCTTACTGGATCAGGCTGTAGGGGAGATGGTTCTGCCTTTGGCCTTTTATGTTTGGGCATTGGATTTTGGATCAAAGTTATGACCTCCTGTAACAGTTATTTTCCTTTTGAGAAACATCTTCTGCCTTGCTCCAGGAGTCTGTAGAAATTGGATGCCTGATCATGGCACAGCAGGTGACCACATGACCTGAGCTACTCTGGTATCTGATCTACCTAGATATAGAACTAGGGATGACCAGGCCTCACTCCTTCATGAAGAGGACATGACATATATGGCCGGGATCCCGCAGCCTTTAAAGGCACAAGTAGGTTGCCTGAGCAAGTTGTTTCCTCTTCTGCAACTGATGTTCTGCTCCAAGAGAGTTGTTTGTGATGGGCTGATTAAGGAAGAAAAACCTGAAGCCTTGTTTATAAATGGCTTTGTACATTATTTTGGCTCCTGCTGAAAGTGGATTGCTAGGGTCTTCTAGTCTTCCTCCGAGAAGGCCTAAGGGACCTAGAAAAGGGAAGTGTGCCCAGAGGCCCCAAAGTGAAGATGCACTGATTCCTGGCCATTGGTTAATGGTATGGTCTGTTGGTCAGGGACTTGAAAAGAACCAGACTAAAGGCTTAGTGATGAGAAGTTTTGAGGAAGATAAATGTGGATAAACTGCCCAGAATGGCTTCAGAGCCTAGGGTTATTTGTATGCCAGATGAATAGTCACCAAAGGGTCTTACTACAGAAGAACTTCTTAGCAGGTTGGTGGGCAGTTTGCCTCCTTCCCTAGCCATATCAGGACTGGCTCAATGGGTTTATGAGCAAACTGGCCGAGTATTATGAAATGCTCCCTCCCTCAGCTGACCTTCTCTCAGTGCTGAGCCCAATTTGCAAGCCTTGGGGAACCAGCCTGAGGCCCCAGGCAGAACCTTACTTAGAGGGAACCAGCTTGCCATCTCCTCGCAGGGAGCTCACATTAGACTCTGTATTAGTGAGTGTTGGCTAACTGCTGTAACAACCGACTCCAACATGTCAGGGGTTTAGTACCATAATAACTTAGTTCTTGTTCATGTCACAGTCCAATGCTGGATGAAGGGGACTTTTCTTCAGGCTGTCGTTTGGGGGTCTACTCTCTCTGTCTTGTGGCTCTGCCCTCATCTAGGTTCTCTCCATTCAATGAGAGGATGGGAAAGAAGGTAGAGCAACGGTTGCATGGGCTGTTTTTATGAGCAATACCCATTAATGACTATATATCACTTTCACTCAGTCTGTTGGGGAGATTTCAGCCACATGGCTCCACCTAACTGTAATCTTTCCCTCCCACTCCTTCCCTCTCCCCAGGCAACCACGATCTGTCTCTAATGCGTGTTTTGCATTTTCTTATAGCATACACTTTGTTTTGTTTGACCTCTTTCCCTCAGCATAATTATTTTGCAAATTATCCATGTTGTAGCATGTATCCATAGCTCATTCCTTCTTAATACTAAGTAGTATTCCCTTGTATAGATGTACCGCAGTTTGTTTATTCATTCAACGTCGATGAATAGTCATGACAGATCTTTCTCATACATTGAATTAACTTATTATACTGCTCTGAGAACTGAAAGAAAAAATTTTTTCTTCCTTTTTTTTTTTTTTTTGACTGCCCCATATGACATATGGGAATCTTCCCCAGCCAGGGATCAAAGCTACATCCTTTGCATTGGGAGCCCAGAGTCTGGAGGGAAACAGCAAATCAGCCAAGATGGTGGTGGTCAGGCTATCTCACCCCACGCCTTCTTGCTCTCGCCCCTGTTTTGTAAATAATGATTATGTAACAGCTGAGATCACTTATAGCACTGCGCATGTGCCTCACAAGATACTCCCTTGGCCACAAGCTACTTTTGTTCTGTAAGCATACATAAATTCCACCTGAAAAAGCCCTTGCAGCTACCTTATGGTTGTGTTATGGTGGTAAGGTCGTGTTATGGTTGTGTCCACTGGGTCAAGCATGAGAATGGAGATTACAGCATGTCTGATGCTGCTACTGCTGC